TCGTTATTTTCCGCTTTGCATCCCACTCTCCTCATCTCACGATCTCTCTCCGACATCCCGCCCTCTTAGCTGCGAGCGTCTCACGATCTCGCTCGATGTCTCTTTCTTCTCTTGCAATATACTCTCCAATCTCACGTAATTCATCAATCTCAAATCTCTTTTTATAAGCAAAATGAATCTTCTAAGGTAGTTTTCTTCCATAAATTTTTCCATGACTCTTACATGAATTAGAATACCAATTGATTCCAACTTAATTATTGTTGACTTGGAAGACACCTAATCAATAACAATTCTCCACCTTGGATTCAATTCAGCAGCAGCTCTTCCATCTCTGTTTCCTTCTCACCTTCACGATGTGAGATCAGTGCAATTGTTTGTTTGCACTTCACTAAGTTTATATAATGAATGATCTTACTTCTTGTAACTGGTTTTGTAAGCATATTAGTTGGATTATCTTCAGTAGAAATCTTCTCCACTTTAACTAATCCCTCTGCCAAAATGTCTCTTACAAATGCATTTTCACATCTATATTACCAACAACCTGAAGTGTTTCTTACTAGCATAAGGCATTTGATCCATCAGACTTCTTATTGCTTCACATTGTGGAGATTGTGCAGAAGATCATCAATGTTTAGGGATGGCAATGGGTAAGGGTTTGCCGAGTCTTAGACCCCGAATCGACCCGTTTGGGGGCAGGTTTGGGTAAGTTAAATGGTTCTGAGTCAGGTATTGGATCTAAGTTTCTAGAACCGGATGATTTTGGGTCGGGTTAGGGGTCTTATTGGAACCAACTCAGAACGACCCGTATAAATATATTATATTTAATAGTTAATCTATATGTAAAAAATAATTTAGAATTTTATTTATCAAACTTTCAATTTCCATCGCGTTTATTCTCATTTGCCAATTTTTCACGGTTTCATTTTTTTTTTAATCTTGGTTTCTGGTAAGTAATAATATGTATCAAACTTGTCGACTACCGCTAGTCATCTTGCATTTTATATATATTTTTCGCGGGTCGGGTCTCGGTTTAGGTAAACCCGCCCCAAAACCGACCCGTTGCCATCTCTACTGATGTGTTGTCCAATAGGTGTTGTAACAACCATTGCTTTATTCATGTTGAACCTCAGCAATACCATTTGTAGGTAAGATTTTTGGGACAGTGCCAAGTGTCCCATCTTTCCGATCCCATTTCTGCATATCTCCATTCCAAGACTTCATCTAGCTAGTCCCAACTCTTTTATAACGAATTCTGATTTCATTATCTTCTTAATCAATTCGACTTATACTTTGTTCCTGCTAGCCACTAGCATATTTAATTTGTATAGTAAATAAATGCTTTTTTTTCTTGCTGTAATTGAAATGTAAATTAAGCTTATTTTTCTTTTACACATTGTGCTAGCCTTCTAGGGTACGGTTGAAGTCGAAGTATGGAACTATCCAAAAAAAAGGAAAAAAGTCTAAGTATGTGAAAACACTCCAAATTTAACATTCAAATTAAAGTTCTTGAATTTTTTTTATCTTTTTTTTTAACTTTCAACTAGGCAGTTAAACGACATCGTTTTAGTCATTCTGTTTGTTTGTTTTTTAATTAAAATAAATTAACACACCATTCTAGGCAAAAAATACCATTTCCAATCGGATTCCAAATTTATGGTCCAACTGGCAAAACGGACCGAACAAGACAGCGGTCCACAGTTTAACTAGTTCAACCGACCGATCCGTTACGAGTTTCAAAACATTGGTTCCAACTAGGGGTGTAAATGAGACGAGCCGGCTCGTGAGCTTTCGAAGCTTGCTCGAAAAAAGCTCGTACTCGAGCTCGAAAAATAGAGCCCGAGCTTTTCGACGAGTCGAGCTCGAGCTTCATTTCAGTTGTTCGACAGCTCGCGAGCTTTACCTTTTCTCTATATTTTTTAATACATATTAATAATATATAATAATGGATATTATTAATAATAAATAAATAAAGAATAATATTACTTTTTTAATTGAAAAAATAAATTTGATGGATGAATTTTTGGTTGTGCCGAGCTTGAGCTTGAGCTCGAGCTCGCGCTCGTTTCGTATACGAGCTCGAGCTCCTTAGAAACACCAGGAGCTCGAGCTCGAGCTAAAATTTATAGGCTCCTCGAGCTCATGAAATAAGGCGAGCTCGGCTCGTTTACACCCCTAGTTCCAACCTCATTCCGTTCCTAATTAATTTAATTATTTCATGTCAATTACCCAGTTAATGAAATATAGAAGATTGTACACTCAGTCTCTCGCATATTTAATTAGAGTTGAAATAAGATAAGAGAGAAGGTTCATCCACGTCAAAAAAACAATTAATGCAATTTTTGGACAGCGTAAGAACTTTCTATTGTATTAAGATCCATAATTAGCAGAGTTGTGTTGTATCGCATTAAAGCACCTTCAAAACTTACCAACTTTCCAAAAATTTGACTTGGCCTGAAAATCAAGCCATAGACCATCTCTTCTTTTTTAAATAGGGTAAATTACAAACACACCTTGAGGTATGGTCAATTTACAAAAAAAACCCCTCTTGTTTGGATAATTACATCTACCCCTCAACTATGATTTTTTCTTACACCTCCATTCTTATGTTGTCAAATTCAACATAATCATTTAGATTTCGTGGAATGTGCTATTTGTACTCGTTTTGTGTAAAAATACAGTTTCTGATGCACCACAATCTGATATATACAAGCCAAAAAACACATATTATGATCATCTTGCTTCAAAATGTAGAGCTCGAATGGGATAAAATGGGTATAAAAATGATAAAATTCCATATAATCCCGAAGATTCCACTAAATTTGAAGAGTCGAGGGGCCGGGTGATTGTAATTATCCAAACAAGAGGGGGTTTTCGTAATTTGACCATATCTCAGGAAGGTGGTTGTAATTTACCCTTTTTAAATATATATGTGTCGATTATAATATATTTTCCTGTCAATGCAAATCACCAATATAATTACCCGATCATATATTTATAAATTGATGCATAATCATTCACACGTATTATTTGATAATCACTTCATATGAATTTTGTAGGACCTCCGTGACTTTGGTGCTGATATCACTTGTAGGATCTCAGACGCTACCAATTGTCATAAAACTAATCTGTTTCAGGAAAGACGCAAACTCTTACAGTGCATTTAGCACACAAATGCCAACGGTATTTGATTGTTAATCGGCCATACCTGGTCCTCTCCGCGTGGATTAGGGGGGTGAACGAGCCGAGCTTGCCTGTTTTGGCAGACTCGAGTTCGAGTTCGGGTTTTTTTTTTTTTTTTGACTCGAGCTCGAGCTCTAGCCCAATTTGTCGAGCTCAAATCCAAGCTCATTTTGGGTTTTACTTATTTATTCATTTTTAATTATTAAATTTTATTATTAAAAAAATATTTAGATTAGAATAAACAAATTCAAAATAAATATTAAACTCTAATTATACATATATTTTAATATTTATATGTTCTTTTTATATTATTTCTATAATATTTTATATTATTATAAATTATTTAAAAAAATATATATAAAAACAAAAAAAAAATAAAAAAAAATAAGGCTCGCGAGCCGGCTCGTGAGCTCACAAACAACTAAAAAAAGTTCGAGTTCGAGCTTTTTTCGAGCCGGCTCATCAAACTCACGAGCGGCTCAGCTCGTTTACAACCCCTAACATGGGCAATTGCTGCTAAAACTACGCTAAAAAGGAAAAAAATATCACTATAGGAATTTTCATTTTGCTATATATAGTGACAGATAATTGGTGAGTTGGTCTTCAATTTGTTTATAAATAAAAAAAAAAAAATGAAA